AACATCTGTAGTTGCAGTAACATCTGTACTTGCAGTAACATCTGCACTTGCAGTAACATCTGTACTTGCAGTAACATCTGCACTTGCAGTAACATCTGTACTTGTAGTAACATCTGTACTTGTAGTAACATCTGCACTTGTAGTAACATCTGTACTTGCAGTAACATCTGTACTTGTAGTAACATCTGTACTTGCAGTGACATCTGTACTTGTAGTAACATCTGTACTTGTAGTAACATCTGCACTTGCAGTAACATCTGTACTTGCAGTAACATCTGCACTTGCAGTAACATCTGTACTTGTAGTAACATCTGTACTTGTAGTAACATCTGCACTTGTAGTAACATCTGTACTTGCAGTAACATCTGTACTTGTAGTAACATCTGTACTTGTAGTAACATCTGTACTTGCAGTAACATCTGTACTTGCAGTAACATCTGCACTTGCAGTAACATCTGTACTTGCAGTAACTTCTGCACTTGCAGTGACATCTGTACTTGTAGTGACATCTGTACTTGTAGTGACATCTGTACTTGTAGTGACATCTGTACTTGCAGTAACATCTGTACTTGCAGTAACATCTGTACTTGTAGTAACATCTGCACTTGTAGTAACATCTGTACTTGTAGTAACATCTGTACTTGTAGTGACATCTGCACTTGTAGTAACATCTGTAACATCTGCAAACGTTACTAGTTATGAGACGTGTGTAAAGGGTTTTTCATTCACAAACATGTGGCTATTATTTATGAGGAGGGGCTGGGCTATGGTGTATGAGGAGGGGCTGGGCTATGGTGTATGAGGAGGGGCTGGGCTATGGTTTATGAGGAGGGGCTGGGCTATGGTGTATGAGGAGGGGCTGGGCTATGGTGTATGAGGAGGGGCTGGGCTATGGTTTATGAGGACGGGCTGGGCTATGGTGTATGAGGAGGGGCTGGGCTATGGTGTATGAGGAGGGGCTGGGCTATGGTTTATGAGGACGGGCTGGGGTATGGTTTATGAGGACGGGCTGGGGTATGGTTTATGAGGAGGGGCTGGGGTATGGTTTATGAGGACGGGCTGGGCTATGGTTTATGAGGACGGGCTGAGCTATGGTTTATGAGGACGGGCTGAGCTATGGTTTATGAGGAGGGGCTGGGCTATGGTTTATGAGGACGGGCTGGGCTATGGTTTATGAGGACGGGCTGGGCTATGGTTTATGAGGACGGGCTGGGCTATGGTTTATGAGGACGGGCTGGGCTATTATTTATGAGGACGGGCTGAGCTATGGTTTATGAGGTGGGGTATTACACACGACTCGCAACCGATGCAGAAGGGCTGTTTCAGAGGCCAAGGCTCGTTAATCCAGCCGCCAACCCGGCTGTTCAACCCATCCTTAGACCAAGTCCATTCTATCCAGCGGTCGACCTCAAAGACGCATTCATCAATTTTAAGATTCTGTTCATTCGAAGCAAATTTTCTAAAATATATATTAATATTATATATTAGCATATTGTGCATATATAGGCATAGGTTAGGTTAGGTTAGTTTAGGTTAGGTTAGGTTAGGTGTTTAGGTTCTGTTGGCGATTATTTGTATTTGTCGTACGTGTGTGAAGCATTTACAGCGTTGTGGTTCGAACAAAATTTGTCAGTGAAGCACTTGTTCCGGAAGTGTTCGAACGTCATCAGTTGTGAGTCGTGTGTAAACCGTTTTTCATTTATAAACAGGGGGGGGGGGTTTTGGCGGGTGGATGGAATCACTTTTGGATCGCTATATAGCTAATATATTATAATATTAATTTATATTTTAGAAAACTCCAGTTTTCACTGAACAGCATGTTAAAATTTATGAATACGTCTGTGGGGTCGACCGCTGGATGGATTGGAGTCGAGTCGAGGACGGGTTGCTGTAAATGCTTCACCCACGTACTTCAATTACAAATAATCACCAACAGAACCTAAACACCTAACCTAACCTACGTCTAACTATACATAGCTAGAATTCTTATGTATAATAATATTAATTTATATATGATAACAAACCATTTTTTAATACACAGTATGTTAAAATTGATGAATGCGTCTGGGGAGGACGGCCGCTGCTTTAACGAGCCTGGTGTGAGGTCGGGTTGACATACCTAACACCTGATACCTAACCTCAGCCTTACTATTCGTGAAATTATTAATTATAATATTTTTTTTAGCATATCTCTCGATTTTGAAGACGTAGTATGATTAATTTGACGGTTGCATGTTTGGGGGTCGGCCACAGGATGGACGAGCTTAACTTGAGAATAACTGCACTAACAACTTAAGCTGATTTAGGATATCAAGATTCAAGCCTTACAGAGTACGATCATCAATGACGCAACGTAATCATAGACGCTAAGATAATAAGACATGAATGAACGCTCCTATCAACAAGACGGGAATGAACGCTCCTATCAACAAGACATGAATGAACGCTCCTATCAACAAGACATGAATGAACGCTCCTATCAACAAGACATGAATGAACGCTCCTATCAACAAGACATGAATGAACGCTCCTATCAACAAGACGGGAATGAACGCTCCTATCAACAAGACATGAATGAACGCTCCTATCAACAAGACATGAATGAACGCTCCTATCAACAAGACATGAATGAACGCTCCTATCAACAAGACATGAATGAACGCTCCTATCAACAAGACATGAATGAACGCTCCTATCAACAAGACATGAATGAACGCTCCTATCAACGAGACGTTGATAGGAGCGTTCAACGTCTTGTTGTTACTCTTGTAGTTACTCTTGGACCCCTAGTCCAAGAGTAACTAACTTTCCCCAGGAATTGTTCCCAACAATATTACCACCTAAACATGCCCAACTATCATCATGAAAGCAATGTGATGGAGAATGACAAGGAATTACACCACCGAGAGATGAGAACCTGTACTTCGCGGTGTGTGTGTGTGTGTGTGTGTGTGTGTGTGTGTGTGTGTGTGTGTGTGTGTGTGTGTGTGTGTGTGTGTGTGTGTGTGCGTGTGTGTGTGTGTGTGTGTGTGTGTGTGTGTGTGTGTGTGTGTGTGTGTGTGAATCTGGATGAGACCACAGACATAGGAGGAGAAGCACAGCTAATTGTTTGCTGTCGGTTTCCAGACTTAGAAGAGAAACCTATTGTTGAACAGTATTTGTGCTGCCTCCAACTGGGCGTAGAAACAACAGCACACAACATTTTTCAGAAACTTCATGATTATATTATTGAAGAGAGCATTGACTGGTCAAAATACAAGTCTGTTACTACTGATGGTGCAAAAGCTATGGTCGGTGCAATCAATGGCGTTGTAAAGAAGATCCAGGCGGTTTCACCTAATTGTATCGCAATTCACTGTGTGATTCACAGGGAAGCGTTAGTGGCAAAGTGACTTAATGAAACTAGAAATGCTAAGGAGGAAAGTAACTTTGAGCTTCTACTTGATGATGTTAAAATGGTTAATCATATTTGTGCACATTCCAAAAAGCATAGAATGTTTCGTGAGTTGTGTAAGGATATGGAAGCTAATTTCACAAAACTCCTCCTTCATACTGAAGTACGGTGGTTATCTCGGGGTGAGGTTCTTAATCCAGTGTTTGCATTGAGAGAGCATCTCAGTGTTTTCTTTACTGAGGAAGCCAACCCCATGACAGTTAAATGTCAGGCTGTGCTCTGGCCGGCAAAATTGTCTTACATGGCTTCAATCATCGATCATCTGAACAAGCTAAACATCAGTCAGCAAGGCAAAGGTGGGGATATTTTTACAAGTAACTAACTTGTAAAATAACATTTTCCATAGTTGTATTTTCTAACCTGGAAAATAAATGCATTTAAACTGAAGGTGAAAAAATGGAAAAGCAATGTAGAGAGGAGGTGCTTTTCTGTTTGTGAATTATTTGACTCATTTATGAGAGAATGTGGCTGGCAACACGGCATGCAGGCAACAGGGCAGACACTGGAGGTACATATGTCACACTTTAGTTATCAGACACCTTACTTTAAAGTAAGAAAACCTTGACATTTCTATTTCCCAGACAGTGAGAATGACCAGCTGACCTCCAACATGTGGATGCTTAATCCCTTCACAGATGAAGCAACTGATCATTGTGATGTTCTTTTAGAGTCTCGAGCGGATTATTCACAAAAAGCAGTTTTCAAGACCTTTACCCATCCCATGGATTCCTGGGTTACCCTGCTTGATATCCCAGAGTACAAGGATCTAGCTGAGCAGACAATAGCCATATTTGTACAGATGCCAACATCATACTTGTGTGAGCCAGGGTTATCTAGTTTAGTTTAAGTGAAGACAAAGTAAAGGAATGCAATCCTAAACTTGGATCCTCTCATGCGAGTTGCACTTGAAAATCGTCTGACGCCTCGACTCAACCTAATAGCAGACAAAGTGCAACAGCAGCCAAGCCACTGATATATTTTTAAATGATAACTATTTGTTTTATTTATTGATACCGTACCAAATATAACAAACTTTGTCTGCAATTTTACTTTAGTGAAGAAAAATGGGTCTGAATGGCACGCTTAATGTTATCATGTGTATTTTGAGCCTCATAGTTTGAGATGAGATATGGAAATATATGGATGAATATGTATAAGTTAAATAAAAAATAAGAGAAACTGTTTTTTTCTGTTTACACAGTCATAGAAATGAGATAAGAAACAGAGATTTTAAATATTAAAAACGTGAAATTTTTAATGATACTTTTTCGGGGTGGAGGGTGGACAGCTTCTACTTAATCACCACTAGGGGTGGACGACATTAGAAAAAGTTGAAGACCACTGTTGACTATCTAGACTATATTCAGGACTAAAGTAAACTTGTTAATCAGAAAGTTATACTGTGGTGGCCTCAAATAACAATCCCAGGGATCAAGAGCGTTCTCCACCTGGTGGGTTCTGAACCCGCCAGGCCAGTGACAACGGAATTCATTCCACCAGACATTGCCCCATCAGCAGCCTGGCGCTGCATGGGTAGCAGCTTCACCTGTAGGTTGGCTCCGTCTGTGCCCAGCCGTAGAGGTTGTGGACATCGTAGTGGCGGAAGGGCTCCATCGAGGCCGCTAGACACAAGGTCTTGTCGGACATCCTCCTGCTCGGCCCCTGGGCTCCAGCCTCTGTACAACAACATATTGAAAATATTAATGTAATTGATGCGATGGAAAATAAGTGTTGATGCAAAGTTTGTTGATGATCATTGATGTACAAGAAAGTTTGTTGAGATTTTATGGAACTTAGACACACTGGAACAGCGGCGTTGGTAGCCATTATTTTGTGTTAAATAATGAACAGAACCACACCTACTACCATCACTACCATATATACTACCATCACTACCATATATACTACCATTGCACTACCATATATACTACCATCACTACCATATATACTACCATTGCTACCATATATACTACCATTACTACCATCACTACTATACATACAACCATCACTACCACTCCTACCACTATCATAACTACCACCATCACAATCACATCCACCATCATCACTACTACACCCACCACAATCACCACCACACCACCTTCATCACTACTCTTCCACCACCATCACTACCACATCTACCAACATTACTACCACACCCACTACCACACTCACCACCATCACTACCACATCTACCAACATCACTACCACACCCACCACTACCACACCTACCACTACCACACCTACCACGATCACTATCACACCTTCCACCACCACTACCACCCCCACCACCAATACCACACCTACCACCACCACAACTACCACCACACCTACCACCACCACAACTACCACCACCACACCTACCACCACCACACCTACCACCACACCTACCACAACTACCAGCCAGAGGGTCGTACTTGTGACGTAGGGAGGGTCGTCCCAGGTGGAGTTGGGGCAGGTCAAGCTCCAGGGCGGCGAACCTTCCAGCCAGTTCCATGGTTGGCGCTCGTTGGTGCCGAAGTTGGCGGGCTCGTTCATGTCCTGTTGGGGTGGGGGGAGGGTTACTCTCGTTCATGTCCTGTGGGGGCTTACTCTCGTTCATGTCCTGTTGGGGTGGGGGGAGGGTTACTCTCGTTCATGTCCTGTTGGGGTATGGGGAGGGTTACTCTCGTTCATGTCCTGTTGGGGTATGGGGAGGGTTACTCTCGTTCATGTCCTGTTGGGGTATGGGGAGGGTTACTCTCGTTCATGTCCTGTGGGGGCTTACTCTCGTTCATGTCCTGTTGGGGTGTGGGGGGGTTACTCTCGTTCATGTCCTGTTGGGGTGGGGGAAGGTTACTCTCGTTCATGTCCTGTTGGGGTGGGGGGAGGTTACTCTCGTTCATGTCCTGTTGGGGTATGGGGAGGGTTACTCTCGTTCATGTCCTGTTGGGGTGTGGGGGGGTTACTCTCGTTCATGTCCTGTGGGGGGTTACTCTCGTTCATGTCCTGTTGGGGTGGGGGAAGGTTACTCTCGTTCATGTCCTGTTGGGGTGGGGGGAGGTTACTCTCGTTCATGTCCTGTTGGGGTATTGGGAGGGTTACTCTCGTTCATGTCCTGTTGGGGTGGGGGGAAGTTACTCTCGTTCATGTCCTGTTGGGGTGTGTGGGATGTTAGTCTCGTTCATGTCCTGTGGGGGGTTACTCTCGTTCATGTCCTGTGGGGGGTTACTCTCGTTCATGTCCTGTGGGGGGTTACTCTCGTTCATGTCCTGTGGGGGGTTACTCTCGTTCATGTCCTGTGTGGGGTTACTCTCGTTCATGTCCTGTGGGGGGTTACTCTCGTTCATGTTCTGTGGGGGGTTACTCTCGTTCATGTCCTGTGGGGGGTTACTCTCGTTCATGTCCTGTGGGGGGTTACTCTCGTTCATGTCCTGTTGGGGTGTGGGGAGGGTTGAAGGGGTTACTCTCGTTCATGTCCTGTTGGGGTGTGGGAGGGGTGAAGGGGTTACTCTCGGTAATGTAGTGTAAGAGTGTGGGGGGAGAGGGGGGTGTCTTCTCCATGTCCTGGACAAGCTGTAACCTAAATATACTAAGCATTTAGCTAATAGAATCTCTCCAGTCTTCCCAGTCTGTACACATGATTGAACAGACTGTTGTGTGCTACGAGCTGCTCACTTGAGACGGAAAGTGGTGCTTCAAATAGATAAGCTGAGGCGAGGTGTTCTTGTGTGTTGAGAACACACCTGTGTGAAGCAACCCATAGCGACATTTGCGTCACAGGGTGCGTCAGGATCACGTGATTCAAGGCCACAGGCATGGGTTAAATCACGTGATGCAAGGCCTCAGACATGGGTTAAATCACGTGATACGAGGCCCCAGGCATGGGTCAAAGCACGTGATTCAAGGCCCCAGGCATGGGTTAAATCACGTGATACGAGGCCCCAGACATGGGCTAAATCACGTGATTCAAGGCCCCAGGCATGGGCTAAATCACGTGATACGATTCCCCAGGCATGGGTTAAATCACGTGATACAAGGCCCCAGGCAAGGGTTAAATCACGTGATTCAAGGCCCCAGGCATGGGTTAAATCACGTGATTCAAGGCCCCAGGCATGGGTTAAATCACGTGATTCAAGGCCTCAGGCATGGGTTAAATCACGTGATTCAAGGCCCCAGACAGTTAAATCACGCCCCCAGACATATCTCAAGGCCCCAGACATGAGTGTGATTCATGGCATGGGTTAAATCACGTGATTCAATTGGTTGTCATAACACGTAGCTGGACCTCTTGGCCAAGTCTGGCTTGGCCGTCCAAGTTGAAGTGTCCAGTTGGAGAGGACTTGTATAGTCCGACAGGTCTTGAGACGGAAGACAGGGACTGGGAAGGGGGACCCCAAACCTGCAAATGGGACTGTCACGACAGTCAAAATGACAGTCACCTCAGTGACTGTATAAAGTCCGACTCTTATATGTGGGAATGTGTGGGAATTTGAGAATGGAAAACAAATTTGTATGTAATTGTCTATTTACAGTCTATTATTTCAGTCTATTTAATATAAAAAAAACTAAATTTAATTTGTGCCTCTGTAACCTTTCCTTGTATTTCGATGTGTGCCTTAAATCCAGTCCAGTCTTAAGAGACTAGAAGAGGTGTAGACATATTATATGCATTGAATATAATGTGGCAATTAACTAATTATATGATCAGTATTAGTCAAGTACATCAAGTGATAGATTACCATCAATTCTGATTTAGCTCAGACCATACACAGAGCGTCAAGGAGAGAGATCTAAGATCTTACACACAGCATCAAGGAAAGATCTCAGATCCCACACACACACACAGGATCAGAGCATCACTTAATCTCGTATGCGCTTTCCTAGTGCCTCTAGAACCTCTTATAATCTCTTTATGAATCCAGCGTGGACCCAATCAGCCTCTGATATTCCAGGCGAAGTCCTGGAATATCTCCCAGTTGTCCATGTTAATCTCTCTCACCTTCCCCGCCTCTCACACCTCTCTTCTTCCTGAAGTGAATTATCCAGCTACTAATGGTGAGATTATCTGATTACAGGAATATTCTCTGTCGCACTGATTGTAATGGTGTTTCGCTTCGAAGGCTGTACACGGGAGGGTGTACACGTGACCAGACACGAGACAAGATGTACACGAGAGGCTGTACAAAGAAAGCTGTTCACTAGAGGTTGTACAAGGAAGCTCTACACGGCAGGCTGTACACGAGACGGAGTATGGGAATACAAATATATATTTATATGCAGCCATTTAAAATAAAAACAGCTGAGCTGATTTGTTTCCAATAAGGCTTAAACAAATGTTGCCAAATAGCTTGACTCTCTTATGGGAAGGTCAAGAGAGGAGAGGAAACCTGGCCAGGTGTGTGAGAGAGTGCCGCCACTCACAAGCCACAGGCCATCAAACTTGAGTGTGGTGTAGAAATTCTTGATCTCCTGCATCCACCAGTTCTTGGCAGACTCCTTGAAGAAGTTTGGGAAGGCTGTCCTGTTGTCTGGCCACACCTGGAGGGGGGGAGAGAGAGACGAGGGTAGGGAGGATGGCTTCACAGACATGTGACAACATAGTGTTAATCCTAGGTCAATAGCTATCAGCCAGTATATTATAAGACTATATAATGCCTCTCTAATGTTTATATTTCCCCCCCCCCCACATACCATGTTGGAGGCATGTGGGGGGGGGGGGAATATGGGAATATATATATGCTGCTGCTATGTTTGGAAACTGAAGCAAAATTTACAGCAATTTTTGCTGTATTATAGAATTAAATTCTAATCCATGACCCCCTTTGTTTTCTATCCGTTAGGTATAATCTCACTCCCAAAACTATTTTTTTTTTAATTTTTTTTTTTTTGTGAAACTGCACCTAAGGTCTAAGATGAAATCCATCCAACATTCTCTCTCTCTCTCCAGTTTTATCTTGAGAAGTTTGGAAGGATTGCGTCCGGGTCTCGGGGGCGCCACTTGCAATCTCTCTTGGAAACTCGTGCTATCCCTATCTTGCAAAGTTGTCCTAACTGCAACTGTTTCCTGATCCTCTTCCTGGCTCTTATCTCCATTGGTTTACGTGTAATACACGTCATTCAGGTTTACACGTCATGCACGTTACTGAGGTTTACATGTAAAGCACGTCATAAACGGGTTTACACGTCATGCACGTCACTGAGGTTTACATGTAAAGCACGCCATAAACGGGTTTACACGTCATGCACGTCACTGAGATTTACATGTAAAGCACGTCATAAACGGGTTTACACGTGAAACACGTCAGTGACGGGGTTTAACGTGGTACACGTCAGTGACGGGTTTGCACGTAATGTACGTGTGTAAGACGGGTGCAAACACGAGAAATCTTTAATAAACAGTAAATCTATGTTGATTCATTACAGTGATCAATGATCAACGTTGATCACTGCTATAGCAGCGTTCTCTGGCCACTACACAGAACTCACGTATCCCAGCATGACGTTGGCCAAGCCTCCACCGTTGCTGGCCAAGCCTCCACCGTTGCTGGCCAAGCCTCCGCCGTTGCTGGCCAAGCCTCCACCGTTATTGGCCAAGCCTCCGCCGTTGCTGGCCAAGCCTCCACCGTTGTTGGCCAGCACCACCTCCTCCTTCGTCTCCGGCGCCCACGTCACGTACGCCCCGGCCGCGAGGGCGCGGGCATGGGGCGGGTACTCTTCGGCCGACAGCTGTAAACAAGAATGGCTGAGGTGAGAACATTCACACTACCGAGACACGCTGAGGGAAGGTGGTGGGGGTGAGAGGTGGTGGGGTATTCTTAGAGCATATTCTCAAATTTGAGCGCACGATACATACTCAAATACATTGTTTGAAACTAGGATAGAATTAGAGGTTCCTAAAACGCTTAGAAAACTAGAAAATATCTTCAGATCGCGCGTAAGATAATTCAGTATAACATTACTAGAAGAGATCACACTGAGGGGAGTAGACTTGGAGCACTAAGGGGGGAATAGACAGAGGGGACACATGTGGAAGCCGGTGTCAGTGCAGTCCAGAGCTATGCTAGAAATGGCTCGGTATTTCAGTATTCAGGCGGCGTTGTCTGACGTAGCTGAAGACAACATCGAACTTGAGAAAGTGAGAAAACTCATCAGGGAACAAAATGCACTCTCATATCAGGAGAGGTCGCGCCTCACAGGACCGGTAACTTTGAACAACACCAGAATGATTTCACCAAAACATTCCAGATGGTGAGCACATTAGACTCACGTGAATCAACACCACTTCTTCAAGACGTTCAACGTAACTCCCGAGCTCCAAAAGTTGTGCTTGTCAATTGAACATTAATGTGAACTCAGTGAACACTAATTCACCCATTTAAATCCAAATCACCCATTATATCACCAATCTTACCAAGCCCTTGAAGGGGGAAGATAATGGTTAATCATTATCTCTCGCGTCTTCCGGTGAAGAGGACCACACGAGAGGAATGATGAGGAGGATCACCTCTACAGTGTCATATGGAACCATCGCAGTTTAGATCTTACAAGCTATAACTGCGTTGTTGAGGCAGGGACATAGACAAGGACACAACCTATAGCACTGTATCATCCTTTGCAGATAACACTAGGATCTTCATGAGAGTAGGCAACATAGAGGATACGGCAAACCTCAAGTCAGATGTAGATCAGGTCTTTCTATGGGCTACAAAAAAATAATAGGGTATTTAACGAAGATAAGTTCCAGGTCATGCGCTACGGATTTAATGAAAATATAAAAACAGAAACCACGTACAAAACTCAGGCAAATCATAACATAGAACGAAAAGGCAATGTAAAGGATCTGGGTGTACTCATGTCGGAAGACCTTACCTTTAAAGAACACAATAAAGTAGCCGTCACAACTGCAAGAAAAATGACAGGTTGGATAACAAGAACTTTTCACACTAGAGATGCTATACCGATGAAGATACTTTTCAAAACGCTTGTGCTCTCTAGAGTGGAGTACTGCTGCACAATGACAGCCCCTTTCAAAGCTGGAGAAATTGCTGACCTGGAGAGCGTGCAGAGATCCTTTACTGCTAGAATCCACTCAGTAAAACATCTAAACTATTGGGACCGACTAAAGAGCCTAAATTTGTATTCTCTTGAGCGCAGGCGGGAGAGTTACATAATAATCTACACGTGGAAAATAGTAGAGGGGCTGGTCCCAAACCTGTATACAGAAATAACATCACATGAAACCAGAAGGCATGGCAGGATGTGCAGAATACCCCCGTTAAAAAACAGAGGTGCAACAGGTACTCTGAGAGAGAACTCTATCAACATCAGAGGCCCGAGACTGTTCAACACGCTTCCACTACACATAAGGGGCATAACTGGCCGACCCCTCACAGTGTTCAAGAGAGAACTATCAACATCAGAGGCCCGAGACTGTTCAACACGCTTCCACTACACATAAGGGGCATAACTGGCCGACCCCTCACAGTGTTCAAGAGAGAACTATCAACATCAGAGGCCCGAGACTGTTCAATACGCTTCCACTACACATAAGGGACATAACTGGCCGACCCCTCACAGTGTTCAAGAGAGAACTTGACAAACACCTCCATAGGATACCTGATCAACCAGGCTGTGACTCATATGTCAGGCAGCGAGCAGCCGCGTCCAACAGCCTGGTTGACCAGTCCAACAACCAGGAGGCCTGGTCGACGACCGGGCTGCGGGGACGCTAAGCCCCGGAAGCACCTCAAGGTAGCCTCAAGGTAAGGGAGATGAGGCCGGGGCGAGCGGGCACTTCCCTGTGTTGTTCTGTTAGGAGCACACCTGCAGTACCCCGCCTCCCCCGGCTGTACCCCGCCTCCCGCGGCTGTACCCCGCCTCCCCCGGCTGTACCCCGCCTCCCGCGGCTGTACCCCGCCTCCCGCGGCTGTACCCCGCCTCCCGCGGCTGTACCCCGCCTCCCCCGGCTGTACCCCGCCTCCCGCGGCTGTACCCCGCCTCCCGCGGCTGTACCCCGCCTCCCGCGGCTGTACCCCGCCTCCCGCGGCTGTACCCCGCCTCCCGCGGCTGTACCCCGCCTCCCGCGGCTGTACCCCGCCTCCCGCGGCTGTACCCCGCCTCCCGCGGCTGTACCCCGCCTCCCGCGGCTGTACCCCGCCTCCCCCGGCTGTACCCCGCCTCCCGCGGCTGTACCCCGCCTCCCCCGGCTGTACCCCGCCTCCCGCGGCTGTACCCCGCCTCCCGCGGCTGTACCCAGCCTCCCACGGCTGTACCCCGCCTCCCGCGGCTGTACCCCGCCTCCTGCGGCTGTACCCCGCCTCCCGCGGCTGTACCCCGCCTCCCGCGGCTGTACCCCGCCTCCCGCGGCTGTACCCCGCCTCCCGCGGCTGTACCCCGCCTCCCGCGGCTGTACTCCGCCTCCCCCGGCTGTACCCCGCCTCCCCCGGCTGTACCTCGCCTCCTGCGGCTGTACCCCGCCTCCTGCGGCTGTACCCCGCCTCCCGCGGCTGTACCCCGCCTCCCGCGGCTGTACCCCGCCTCCCGCGGCTGTACCCCGCCTACCGCGGCTGTACCCCGCCTACCGCGGCTGTACCCCGCCTCCCGCGGCTGTACCCCGCCTACCGCGGCTGTACCTCGCCTCCTGCGGCTGTACCCCGCCTACCGCGGCTGTACCCCGCCTCCCGCGGCTGTACCCCGCCTCCTGCGGCTGTACCCCGCCTACCGCGGCTGTACCCCGCCTACCGCGGCTGTACCCCGCCTCCCGCGGCTGTACCCCGCCTACCGCGGCTGTACCCCGCCTCCCGCGGCTGTACCCCGCCTCCCGCGGCTGTACCCCGCCTCCCGCGGCTGTACCCCGCCTCCCGCGGCTGTACTCCGCCTCCCCCGGCTGTACCCCGCCTCCCCTGGCTGTACCTCGCCTCCTGCGGCTGTACCCCGCCTCCTGCGGCTGTACCCCGCCTCCCGCGGCTGTACCTCGCCTCCTGCGGCTGTACCCCGCCTCCCGCGGCTGTACCCCGCCTCCTGCGGCTGTACCCCGCCTACCGCGGCTGTACCCCGCCTACCGCGGCTGTACCTCGCCTCCCGCGGCTGTACCCCGCCTCCCGCGGCTGTACCCCGCCTCCCGCGGCTGTACCCCGCCTCCCGCGGCTGTACCCCGCCTCCCGCGGCTGTACCCCGCCTCCCGCGGCTGTACCCCGCCTCCCCCGGCTGTACCCCGCCTCCCCCGGCTGTACCCCACCTCCCGCGGCTGTACCCCGCCTCCCCCGGCTGTACCCCGCCTCCCGCGGCTGTACCCCGCCTCCCCCGGCTGTACCCCGCCTCCCACGGCGAGGTACAGCCGAGTGAGGCACAACAGCTGCCAACACAACGACATTACCCCCCCCCCCTTAACCCCAACCAATCACATAGCAGTGACCGCCTCAATGAACGCAGAAATTAACACAAATCAGCAATTGTATCCTCCACGGGATGTGACATTTCAATCGCCATTTCAGCAAATGACTGGGAAGCAAAGAATGGCAGGATTGGTGATAAAACCCATTGACACGGGTTATAATTCCCTTTGTGGAAAAGCAATATGTCACTATCTTTAATAATTACACCCTTTCAAGCGCAACTCATTCAGCTTTCTCTAATTAGTAACTATAAAAGTATAGTCAATGTGATTTATTTTGTTGTTGTGGTGGGCACAGAGACAGATTATTATTGGAAAGCGATAAACATTACACGTTAATATGTAATTATTCTTTGGTTTCTCTTTCATTATTTTACTGCTTGGTGAACAGATGTATCGGGGTTGAAATGGAAATGTTGTTTTGTACTTTATTTCTATAACTAGCTGTACCCGGCCACGCGTTGCTGTGGCTCAGCAATGCATGCGCATTGCTGAGTCATAACCCTCTCCTGTCCCCCTGTCCTCCCCCACCATTCCCTCCTCTACCGTCCCCCCGTCCCCTCAACCTCCCCACCATTCCCCACTCCCCTGTCCCCTCGTCTAACCCCCAATACACAACTCCCCCGTCCCCTTGTCCTCCCTACCATTCCCCCCTCCCCTCGTCCTCCCCACTATCCCCCACTTTACTGTCCCCTTGTCTTCCTCACCATTCTCCATTCCCCCATCTATTCGTCCTCCTCACCATGCCACACTCCCCTGTCCCTTCGTCCTCTCCACCACTCTTCCCCCTTCCGAGTCCTCTCATCCTGCCCACCATTCCCCACTTCACTGTTCCCTCGTCCTCCCCACCATTACCCCCACCGCCCATCCCCTCGTCCTCCCCACCATTTCCCACTCCCCTTTTTCGATACGTTCCCAAATGATCTGATGTTCCCATCACTGAAAAATAAGTAGAACAGTTAAAAAAAGCGAAATGAAAAACAACTAAAAAATTAAAAAATAAACTATACTCACGAAATGAACAGTATGTTAAACAACACAGCTCAATTCCAATGCAATGTCACACAAAATAATTAAATCAAAATGAAAATAAATCGAAATCTATGAAAATTCATTTTGTCAATGCAATTGGAAATATTGAAATAGTCTCGTAACATATTTACTACAGCATGTGTTGCTCTTGTGTGCAACAGACGGTGCTGTTTTAAAAAAAGCATGTTTTTACCTGTCACAGGTATTGTATCTATTTAGTAGGTACATCAAAACACGCATGTATTTGAATGGAACGTTGTGTCAAAATTTCAAAGCAATCAGTAAAGAATTTAAGGAGATT